AGCTTTTTTATTTCCTTTGTTATGTAATATAAAAATAAAAATAAAAAACGGTAGAGAATGAGACCAGATGCATCATATGGATTAAGTTTGTTCATATTTTAAATTAAAAAATAAATATTAATTTTGGTCCTTATATTTTTAATTAAATCAATTGTAACCTGTAATTTTTAATTTTGTGACTATTTAGTCCAATTAAAAATACCGTTAGTGTTTTTGATGAAAAATGATCATTGAATTTGTTGAGGTTAACTCAACGAGTTGAGCAAATTTATTATTTTACCTCTAAAAGAATGACTTATGTCACTTGTATGCATATTTGTCATTAAAAAATACTAACAGTTAGGGCTAATTACACTGTTTGTCCCTTTATTTTGGCTATTATGTCATTTTAGTCTTTGTAATTTCAATTGAATCGATTTTAACCTTGAATTCTTTATTTTGTCTCAAATTGGTCCAATTGATAGCATTTTTTTTTTTTTATGACAAATGCAACCCATCATCATTTTAGGAGTGAAACAAAATACTTGGTCAATTCAGTGACTTAACCTTAACCAATCCAATGAAAAATTTCTATCAAAGACCCTAAAAATGTTATCAATTTGACTAAATTGATGTAAAATCTAAATTAAGTGTCAAAATTGAGTCAATTAAAACTATATGGAACAACAAAATGTAAGGGTTATTGATGTAATTTACTCAACAATTATAGGCAATTGAAATAAATTGAGATAAATCCATAAATTCATAGTCAAAGTCGAATTAATTGAAACTATAGGGACTAAAATTCAAGAAACTTTATCATTGTACAAGAGAGCAATTTGAAATTTTATTTTTCCTGTTATGTCATATAAAGTCGTTGATCAATTTTATACATGTGGCAAGTACAGTTAAAAAAAATATATTGTATTGAGTTTAATTTATTTGTTTTTATTTATTTTGTGCATTTTAAAAATTTTAAAAATATATTGCCAATTTTTGTTTTTCCAAATGCCATTAGATAGCTTGGAAAGTTTTTGACTTAGTGGCATTTTTCAAAATGCTATAAAATATTTGTTTATGACACTTTTCATCTAATGCCATAAAAAGTAACTTGTACCTACCTAGTTTAGTGACATTTAAAAAAAAAAAAATGTCATTTCTACTAAAGTTTAGTGGCATATGTTGATAAATGTCACTAAAATAATTTCTTGTGTCATTCTTTTATAAAATGCCATAAAATGATATGACATTTCTTTATTGAAATGCCCTTATATGTTTGTGGTTCTGTGACATTTTTTTAAAACTTGTCACCAAATATTATTTTTGTGATATTTTCTAAAAACATGTCACTGGTGTCGTGCCACTAAAATGTGTTTTTGTTGTAGTGACATCAATAATTTTGGGACACCCCATCTCACAATTAAGCCCACATACCCACTACATCATGAGTTAGGGTTTATGAAATCACCTACCTCTATCACTATCCATCCACATCTTCCTCAAATCTCATTCTCAAAATCTTGAAAACCCTTTGGTGACAATATTCCGAAGGTAACCATTTAATTACATACACTCCTCCGACAATGACAATGAGTGGAAGTTTTTTCGGCAACTATAACTCCATAAGATGAGAAGAGTACAACAATAAAAGCTTAGAAGAGGTTCTTAGCTTTGATTGTGTTCTTAGCTCAGAGGAGATTGGCCTTGTAAGAGTAAGTTTCTTAAAAAGAAATGGCAAAAATAATAAAAATTGTTTGTCATATTTTTGGGATTGAACTCTCAAACATATGAATGAAATTTGAGAGCATGCGCCCAAACATTGTTTATTTGTTCAAGAACAAGTAACTGAACATTTCTTATTTGTTCGGGAATAGATAATCGAAGCACCAACAACAAAAATTGGCAAACAAATGAGGTCGGACCACCATTGGGTAGTCGACCGGAGGGTGAAATCCTACCCAGTTTTACTCGCACAGAAAGTATACAAGTACAGTGAGACCATTGATGAATGAAAAAAATTAACTAAAGAAGCATGAAAGTGGATTGTGTTGTGTGTGTGAAAAGAGGTAATAGAAAAAAAAAAAAATCAAACAGTTAGAGAAAAACTTCTTAATCACACAAATTTTTTTCACTAGTTTTGGGAGGTTCCACCGTTCTAGGTTTTGTTAGGATTTTGGGAGAGAGGCTTTTTGGGGTGTGGGGGTGTGTATTTGAATGGGTAAAATATTTTTATAAGGATAATTTTGATATTATTTAGAGTGAAAAAAAAAATTTTAAGAATTTTACAATTTATAAATAGTGGTTTAAATGGGAGGTTTAAAATAACTAATAGGGTATTAATAGCATTATTCGGGAGAAAAATGTCATGTATCACTTGGATTTCAATTTTACTCAGACTAGGGATTGTTTGGAGTGTCTTAAATAAGTGTACTTTTTGACTTTTTGACTAAAAAGTTAAGGAAAAAAAGATGATTGTTTGGGTTAATTTTTTGACTTTTTACTAAAAAATGTGCATTAAAAAATTGTATAAATTAATGTGTAGGAGAAGATAAGGACAGTAGGCAGTAGGCCGTACCGTCTGGGGGAGTGAATTGATGATAAGAAATGGTTGTCTACTTTTTGGACATTGCATTGGACGGTGCTGTTCGGTCCGTGGAGGCCGTCACGGGTCCTATTTTGATAATCTGAACCGTTCAATGTGTAAAACTCGTCGAGTACTATATGCCCATAAAAAATCACATTGATCGAATATCGATAGCTATCTAATCGAATTAGTTTTTTTTCAACCGTTAACTATAACACTATCCATTTTTTTAATACAAAACTAATTTAATCATGTAGTTGGCGATATGCGATCAACGTGATTTTTTACAAACATATAGTACTCGACGATTTTTATATATTGAATGGTTCAGATTATCAGAATGGGACCCGTGATGGGCCTCCATGGGCCGAACAGCACTGTGTTGTTTGTGCACCGCGCCTGTGCAATTTTTCCAAATCATTTCAGCAACTGAGCAACAGTCTATGGGACGGTTCAGATTGTGTTGTAATAATTTGTGTGTAAAATTAATTAATTCTTTAGTAACTTTTGACTTTTTAGATTTTTTTAGGTATCCCAAACCAGCCCTTATTCAGATAGAGGAAATGATAATTTTATAATTTGACCAAAAAAACGTAAGTAATGGACTATCATAAATAAAAAGACTAAAGTAAAAATAATAAAGTATTATACAACAATGATTTAGAGCTCTAAATATGGAGCTCTAGATCCACCACTAGTGAGGTGGACATTAAAAAATAAATAAAAATAAGGCACAACATACTGTAGCAGTGGGTGAGATCTACTGCCACATCATTAATGGTGACTTTAATTAGAGCTCCCAAACATTTTTCAAGTATTATAAACCATAGAACTGCCACCTAGAGTGGCTGCATGAATCAACATGGTTTTTATTTATTTATTTATTTAAATTCAATCATTTTCAATTTGGATCAATCAAACACAAATTATCAAGTTATGGGGAAATTTGTCGTATAAGGACCACCTGTTTTTTTGTCCATTTTCCCAATTTGGATTTTGGATGAATGAACATGTGAAAAGCACGTGACCATTTTGTCAAAAATCTTGTTCACTTTTCCATTTTGGACGAATGGACACATGCAGAGTGTGACCATTTTCGAAAAATAATTTGATCATTATTAATTGGTTCGGTTCAGTTTGACACAAAAATGAAAGTAAATAGATAAAATTATTCAGTGTGTTTGGTTTGAGTTTTTTAGATTAAGTTTTTTAAAAATTGAGTTTTTTTATTTTTGTGTTTTTTTATTTTTAGTGAATATTTTTAAAATTTTAAACACTTTTTTTTTACTTTTAGATGCACCTTACTTAGATGTATCTAAAAAGTAAAAAATTTGTGAAAAAATATCTTAAAAAATTAATAAATACATAAAAATATAAAAAATGCACTGAATTCTCGTATTTTTTTTATATTTTTGGTATTTAGTGAATTTTTAAAAGGTTTTTTTCATAATTTTTTTACTTTTAAAGTATATTTATGTTAGGTATGTCTAAAAAGTAAAAAATAAAAATTGCTTAAAATATTAAAAAAATTCAGTAAAAACAAAAAAATCGGAAAACAAGAAAGTAGAATTTTTTGAAAAATATTTTTGAAAAAATGAAACCAAGCTTATAATTTGAACTGTAAGTATAGAGTAATGCTAAGGATCTAAATGAATTAGTAAATATTGTGCACTATATTCACGTGGGTGTGAGACTTATGTAAGTTTTCATATAATTAATTGGACCGAATTGGGACAATCATAAATTTAAAATCAAAATTGAACCAAATAAAATTACAGAGATCAAAATGACTTGAGAAAAATCTAAAAACAACTGTTGTAATTTGGCCTAAAAAATAATAGCAACCACCAAGGCACATGAAATCACATACTCCATCTTGTCCCATTTTGTTAGCCATTTTTCCTACTTTAGGATGTCCCAAAATGTTAGTCCTATTTAAAAAGTCAAAGTAAAAAATATTTTTAGTTTTCCGAAACTATCCTTTTTAAATGGCTAGAAATATATTAAAAATTGCAAAGAGAAGGGCTATTGGAATAAATGGTCTAAATTTTGAATTCAAACACAATGATTATATGTCTCTTAAAAAGTTAGAATTTTCTAATAGACTATCAAAATGGGACGGAAGGAGTACTAGGTAAAAATTATAACTAATAAAAAAAAAATTGGTGATATATATCTCACAAAAGAGGAGTTCCGGTAGATTCTAATCATAATCGATTGGGGGACAAACTAATCCAGTCCAAATATCATAAAAATGCTAAAACCTTTTTGAATGGATTAGAGATAGAGAGCTAAATGTTGAAGGAAACTAGGGAATCAAAGTGAATTAGTTGAAAAGCTATTGAATGAAAGCAAAGAATAACAAGAAAAGGGAAGTCAAGAAAGAGAATTCAACGAAAGCAAAGAATAGCCAAGAAAACTTTGGGAAGCAACTAAAACATGTATTTATAACACAAACTCTGAAGCCATGGAAAGCAAAAGAATAGCAAGTTACAAAAAACAAGACATGGAAGCAGAGACCTTTCATCTGATTGCTAACAACAACTGTGCCATTGGTATGATATGTCTCTTCTTCTTCTTTTTTAAACTCGTTTCTTGTATGATCATCATCATTGATTCGTTGTTATCATCGTCAATTCTATCTCTTTCTTTCAACTACTTTCATCAAGTATATGCTTGAAAATATTAAACAATATTATGAAATGCTTATGACTTTTCTTGGCATTCTTGTTGTGCTTGCTGACCTCACAATCTCCAGTTCTTGTTATGTGTTTTAGGAAGTAAGCTTTTGAGGATGGAGGATGGAGGATGGAATCCGGTGATAAGAAGAAGACGAGTTGCAAACCAATACAGTAGATCGGTGGAGTATGGAGTGTATACTCTCTTTGTGGATGACATCCCAAACTCGATGACTCCAGAGGGTTTGTACATGTTGTTTAAAAACTTTGGTGTTGTAAAGGACGTTTTTATCCCATCCAAAAGACGGAAATCGACAGGGTCGAGGTTTGGTTTTGTGAGGTATGACTGCAAGGTAGCTGCCGAAATGGCGGTGATGAAGGGTGATGGTCTATGGTGCGACAACAAGGCCCTGAAAGTAAAGAAAGCAGAATTTCAAAAAGGGGAGTTCAAGCAGCATACAATGACAAACAGAGGAGATGGTCCGATGACGCAGCGTCCACAGAGGAGTTTTGGGCATAGAAGGATGGATGTTTCAGGTCGAAGATCATTTGCAGAAGTCGTCCAGAGTGGTGGCAGAAATGAGAAGATGAAGATGGTAGTACAGGCATTCGAAGTCGGAAATGGATGGCTTTATGACAGTGTAATTGTAAGGTTGAAATCATTTTTTTCCTTCGATGAATTTAAAAAGGAGGTGGAAAAAAGAGGTATGGAGGAAGTAAGAGTCAGAGAAGGAGGAGGAAGGCTAGCACTGCTAACTTTTAAGTCCCAGCAACATAAAAAGGAGGCTACAACCAAGCTACAAGAGTGGATGATAGAATGGTGTGATTCTACTACAGACTGGGACAAAGGCAAGTACATAGAACAGGATAGGTGCGTATGGCTAACATGTACAGGTGTACCACCGAATTTGTGGAGTGTCAGTACATTTACAGACATTGGCAAGCTGTGGGGGGAAGTTGTTCAATTTGATGATGCCATTACTACGCAAAGTTCTTTTAAGTGGGGTAAGGTGCGTGTGATTACATCCACAATGGAGTTCATCAATACGGTGATCCATGTTGAATGTAATGGAAACATATTCCCAGTTAGAGTGTGTGAGGAGTTCCCAACAGCAGGTGAGCCGTGTCATTGCTGTAGTTCTTACTTGGAAAATGAGGTCACTGGTCCTATGGCTCAGGATGAAGTGGATCAATTGTCGAAAAATGGTGAGGCAGACAAGGAAGAACATGAAGATGAACACAGAAGGAAGGAGGAACAGGCTATGGTGGACTGCGATGCAGGGGAAAGAGTTGAAGGTAATGAGTGCCTATCTGTCTCAGCCGTAAAGGAAACAGAGGACGGCATGGGAAATCAAAAAGTCAGAGGAGGTAGTCTGCTACGTGAGAATGATGAGTAGATATTTTTGCTTGCAAGACAATTGGAAAATTTTTAGTGGGAGGAATAAAATAGGATCCACCACTTTTACACTTTAGCTGATGCTTTAACAATTGCTCAACATCATGATGTTCAGTTAGTGGCACCGAAAAGCAGCATGTGGATGATACATTTTTCTTGGCCATTAAACATAACATAACTCAAGTGGCTGAACCTTATCTCTCTCTCTCTCTGGGTATATATATACAAAGATATATAGATCGGAGTATTAGATACACAAATGCAAATTCCAAGTGTGATACCTGAGTGAGTGAGTTGGTTTAGTAAATAGATGGAGTTAGTTCAGTGACAGTGTGTTTCATGGTTTGTATACAGTTTTTGCAAGTTGTGTCCTCGTCTTCAGAAGACTCAATATGTAGAGGATTCAAAGAGAAGGGTTCGAAATCAAAGTCAGTGGAAGAATAGGGGTTTAATAGAAAACCATTCAAAGAAATTTGCACCGTTGATTGTGAATGCTAGCAATGGAGGGGCGGAGGTGGAGGTGGTGGTGGTGGAGAAGCCGCCGAAACTGCAGCGATTTCAAGTGTTTGATGGTTCTCCAATGCCTTTCGGAGCCACTGTCCGAGACGGCGGCAATGGAGAAGTCGTCGAAGAGTTATGTTCTGACGCCGGTGATGGTTTATGCTGTGATATCTGAACCGTCGATTGTGGATAATCCTGATGTACCGAGCTACCAGCCGTACGTTCACGGCCGGTGCGATCCGCCAGCGCTGATTCCGCTTCATATGCATAGGATTGAGATGGAGGTGGATTGTTATTTGGATACCGCGGTCGTTACGGTAGTGGAACGTGGCGTGTTCATTGTGTTATGTCGAGCAAGAGCTGCAATTATCGAATCATGATACCGATGGGCGACCACGGTTCAGTTCTAGGTGTCGAGGTTGATGATGGTAGAAGATCATACCATATTCAATTGATCCCAATGGAAGATGAAAAAGATTCAGAAAAAAGTAGCCAAAGCCAAAGATGGGTTCCTACTGAAACAGCAGATATACACTGTAAAAGTTCCCCAGGTTGAAGGGGGTTCAAATATTTTTAATGAAAGCCAATTGGTCTCAGAAGTTACCATATTAAGATGGTAAATTCTGCCTCAGTGTGCTATTTAGTTTTCCGGCATATGTCAAACCTGTTGGTAAGAAGATAGCTAAAAGAGAAAAGATAACGTTGAGCGGTTGAGAAGGATACCAGGTAAGTGGTTGGGCTAGTTTCAGATTTTTGAAAAAGCTGGGTCATCTGAAAGTCCATCTGAAGAGGTGGAATAGTGAAGTCTTTGGCAACATTGAGGAGAATCTGAAAAAAGCTGAGGAGGAACTGCACGAGTGGGATCTGATAGCTGAAGAAAGGAATTTACTGGATGCTGAGTTAAGAAGAAGGGTAGAGGTTAGGAAATTAGTTTGGGATCTTGGCAAGAAGAAAGATTGGCTGTGGCTTCAAAAATCTAGAAGGGTATGGGCTGAAAACGGGGATAGAAATACCAGATTTTTCCATTTAATGGCAACCAAAAGGCAGAGGAAAAACTTGCTAGACTCAGTCAATATGAATGGGGTGATTCAGGATGAGCCCAACATCATGCAGGAATTTTGAGATCCTTAAGAGACGTCCCACCAGCTCACTATACTCTTAAAATGGAGTCTTTCTCATTATTTCTTAACACTAAGATTGAAAATTATGAATCTAGTGTATTCGAAGCTGACGGCTTTAAATGGTGGGTTCAAATTCAATACTATAGTGATTAATTTAAATATTTTGTGGGATAAATAACAATTTTAGTTCTTAAAGTATGTGTTCTTCGTCATTTTAGCCCCGAAAGTATTAATTTTGTCATTTTGATCCTCAAAATTGTCAATTTTAATTAATTTAATCCTATCTCTGGCATTAGTTTATATGGATAATGGGAAAGTATTTTATTCTTGAGTAAAAGACAATTTTGGTCCTTAAAGTATGCGTTTATTGTCATTTTAGTCTCTCAAGCTTTAAATTTTGTCATTTTGATCCTCAAAATTGTCAATTTGAGCTAGGACCAAAATGATAAAATTTAAAACTTAAGGGACTAAAATGACAAAAAACACATACTTTAGAGACCGAAATTGTCTTTTATCCATATTCTTGTTGTCAATGTGAACGAACGTTAGACCTAGGACTAAATTAACTCGAATTGACAACTTTGAGAACCAAAATGAAAAAATTAAAACTTCAAGGACTAAAATGAAAAACAATGCATACTTTGGGGATTGTCATTTATCCATATTTTGTGACATGGCATTTCATATAGCATTAATTAAATGGGAAAGGCAAAAAAGGTGTATATGATATGCACCGTATTTAAAAATATATATATAATTTTTATTACAAAAGTATAATTTTTACCGTAAAAAGTATTAATTTGTCATTCATATTTTAGAGGTGAGCATCATAACTTCACGATTCATGACTTTTATCATAAAAATTGTGACTTTTTCTTATGATGCGGACATTGTAACATTTCCAAAGTGACGACAAATGATACTTAAATGTGATCACGCTAACACTATAAATTATTTATTTATTTATTTATTGAAATGTCCATATATTCTCTACTAAGGAGTCTGCTATTCATGCACTCTCTTCCTCTTTTTATGTTCCAGGAAATTGTCTCTTTACCCAAAAGGAAACATGAAAAGGGGTGTGAACGGTCACATTTCTCTTTACTTGGCAATAGCAGAGGCAAAAACCCTTCCTCTTGGTTGGGAGGTTAATGCCAACTTCAAATTGTTTGTGTACAATCATATTCAAGATAAATACTTAACCATCCAAGGTATAACTGCCTTTGTAGTCCAGTCCAGTTGCAATATTGTCCATAATTTTTTCAGTTATGCTATATGTCTCTACCTGCACTTGTTATATAAATGTAGATGTCGAGGGGGGAATTAGGCGGTTTCATCGGATGAAGACTGAATGGGGTTTTGATGAATTGGTTCCTTTAGACAGTTTCACTGATGCTTCCAAAGGATATCTGCTTGATGACTGCTGTGTGTTTGGAGCAGAGGTTTTTGTTATAAAATATTATGGCAAAGGCGAATCTGTGTCAATGATGAAGGATCCTCTGAACAAGGGTTACACTTGGCAAATTAGTAAATTTTCAGCAATGGATAAGGAATTTCTTCTCACTTGGAAAATTACTAATTTTTCAGCAATTGAAAATGAAAGTTTGCTCTCTGAAGAGGTGGTTTTTGGGGAGCACAAGTGGTAATAATAATGACTACGATTCTCTTTATTTATGTCTAATTCCACGACACAGTAGAACTATAAACTAGAAACGTTGAAAAAATTCTAAGTGCACAGAATACGATCACAGAATGTTGAATAGCTGAGAAACATTATGCAAGTTTTTTCATTGATGTATGCATGCATGCATGCAGGCAATTAGGGCTTTTTCCCAAAGGATCGGGAACTGCAAAAGGTAAAAGCCTCTCAGTTTTTCTGAAGCTTGCTGACTGGGAAACAATTCCTTCTGAACAGAAAGTCTATGCTGAATATAAGTTTGTTATAAGGGACCAGGTCCAAAGTAATCATTTCTACAAGGATGAGGAAGGTGAAATCCATTTTCATTAGAAATATTACTCAACAAACACACAGTGTGTACGAACAGAAATCAATATGAATTCTGTGTTTGGTTCTCTGGGTTTCGGTTTCCGTGTTTGTAGTAGAATTTGTTTTCGATAATGTTACAATAACATGACCACATTTGTAAAGCATATTTTTCTTACCATCTCGTATATCATAATTGCATTAGTTTAATAGAACCCGTATCACTCGTATATCTGCTATCAATGCAGTAACCAGCTGAAATAATATAGAAAATATTATGACTAAATGTAGTAGTCATTGATGATGATCTATTTTCATTTCATCTATACAAATATGCTTGATGTAGTTGCATTTAAATTTGTATTCTTCAACATTAATTATTGTTTTGTTCTTTTGGCAGCTATCAAAAATTGGTTCGTTCCCTCAGGCATTGGCTATGGTTATAGAGACTTCTTGTCCCTAAGCGACCTCAATGACACATCAAAGGGCTTCCTGGTGAACGATGCCATAATTGTTGAAGCAGAAATCAAGCTCTAATTTTATGTATGGAAGGAGACGTTGGAGGAATGAAGAAGCGGTAGAAATATCATTTAAAAATCTTCTTCATGTTGTCATTCAGGATACACAAAACATGAAATGTGATTTTAGCTTGCCTTTTCACTTATTGATGTGACCTCATTTCCATTTACTTAATTTAAATGAATCTGTTTTCAAATATCAATATTTTCACTATTAAATCAATCTCATATATCCGTGGAGTATTCGATAAAAAAAAAAAAAAAATGGACCAACAATATGATTTTCAGAGAAAGATGGTTTAGAAGTAATCTCTATTCCCTCTTAATGACAATGACAATCCCAACTTTTTTTTTTCTTCATGTGTTGGACCATTTTAATATCTTATATTTATTTATTGGTTTATCTTTTTTATAAATGGGGTTTTATTACTTTGGTAACCTCTTGGTCATAAATGGAGGTTAAATAGAATTCATGAACCTGGTTAATGGTCATTATTTTGGTGTAACCATTTTCTTGTTTAATGGTCATTATTTTTGGTGTAACTGTAAGGTCCTTATAGCCTATATATAGTCTACTCTTTTCTATCTATAGAGATCAACTATTTTCTATACAAGAGAGATTACTAGAACAGAAGGGTGTTTTATTGGTGGAGCTTTGGGTTCACCATCTTGTGCAGAGTTGGCCTGAACCACACGACAAGTGGTCGGGCTGTTGTATCCTGGAGGGGACAAGTCATAGTGTTGTGACTGCTGCATCGGTATTTGGATTCTTCCTACCGCAGTGGGCTTGATCTCCTTAAAGAAAACGAGATATCCGTGCCTCAGCCTGATCTATTTGTATCTCATTTTCTTTGCATCATTTATCAATAATATAGTTTAGTTTCTGGTATTTTCTCCAACAATTTTAAGGAGATCAAACATGGAACAAGTACCAGAAAAAATCAATGATGGAATTGGAGATCTCAACAAGCCTTTCAAGTTCAAAGGAGTTCATTTTAAGAGGTGGAAAGGAAAAGTTCTTTTCTACCTTAGCCTTTTGAAAGTTGCATATGTTCTTACCGAAAAGAATCCGAACAAAATCCCAACCGAGGAGATGAATGATGAAGACTATGAGGCACATGAAGCAAAAGTGGCTTCCTATAATACAGATGAGTATAAATGTCGCTTTTATCTCTTAAATTTCCTTGCTGATTAATTTTATGATGATTACTATGACACCACTTACATGTTATCTTCTATTAATTTGTGGCATGCTCGCTTGTGTCATATAAATAGTAAATATGTGGGAATCATGAGTAGTTTAGAATTAATTCCTAAAGTGACAAAAAATTTTGAGAAATGTGAAGTTTGCAGTAAAGCAAAAATTACCAAGAGGCCTCATAAAAGTGTTGAAAAAAATACCGAATTGCTAGAATTATTTCATACTGATTTGTGTGAGTTTGAAGGAATTTTAACTCGGGGTGGTAACCGATATTTTATCACTTTTATTGATGATTTTTTAAAATATACAAACGTATATTTATTAAAAAATAAAAGTGATGCTTTTGAGAAATTTAAAGAATTCCTTCTTGAAGTAGAAAATCAATTCGGTAAAAAGATTAAAAGAATTAGAAGTGATAGAGGCCGGGAGTATGAATCTCTAGGATTCAAGTCTTTTGTTCAGTCATTGGGAATTATTCATGAGAGTACTCCACCATATTCACCTTCATCAAATGGCGTAGCTGAAAGAAAAAATAGAACGTTAATTGACTTGACGAATGCTATGCTTATTGATTCTGGTGCTCCCTCAAATTTTGGGGTGAGGCTATTTTGACAGCTTGCCATGTGATAAATAGAGTGCCACACAAATAGACTAAAATTGTCCCTTATGAGTTGTGGCGAGGGCATAAACTAAATCTAGGTTATTTGAGGGTTTGGGGTTGTTTA